GAACGCTGTGCCACCCTCCTGCTGCCAACAGTTCTGATGCCAAAGCCACACCCTTCTGGAGCCACCTGCTGCCCGGGCCCAAGGAGCCTGTTTTGGTAAGCCAATAGAGGAGCTCATCTACTCTTAAGTGGATATTCACGTGGGTGAAGACAGAGGCCTGGGGGGTAGGGTAGTAGTCCTTTGAGAGCTTGTCATGAGCCCCTGCTCCCAAACATACTGACCTTTACCCAATGTTTTTTCCCAATCTTTCCTCTCCATAGGACCCAACAGACTGCAGTCCCATGGGGCGGAGGCTAAAAGGTGCCCGTCGCCTGAAGCTGTAAGTGATTAGCTTTTTCCACTACTCTCTCCCTGAGAATGGGGGCAGAAGTCTGTAATCCTCTTTCTTTTTTTCTGTTTTTTTGAGTCGGAGTCTCACTCCGTTGCCCAGGCTGGAGTGCAGTGGCACTCTCATTGCCACCACAGCCTTGATCTGCTGGGCTCAGGTGCTCCTTCCGTCTCAGCCTTCCAAGAAACTGGAACCACAGGCATGTGCACCACGCCCGGCTAATTTTTTTATTTATTGTAGCGACAAGGTCTCGCCATGTTGCTCAGGCTGGCCTTGAACCCCTAAGCTCAGGCAGTTCTCTCACCTCAGCCTCTCAAAGTGCTGAGATTACAGGCTTGAGCCACTGCAACGGCCTCTAATCCTCTTTCTAACTTCAGAGCAGGGGACCCTCAGGGCAAGAGCCCTGGGTCATGGCAGTGAGTGAGGTCCAAGGACATGAGCAGGAATCCCAGAATACCTCAAGCCAACCCACTGTCCCCACCCCTACTAGGAGCTCCCTTCGAAGCCTCCGGAAGGGGCCAGGCCTGCTGAGCCCCCCCAGTGCCTCCCCCATTCCTACCCCTGCTGTCAGCCGTACCCTGCTGGGCAACTTTGAGGTAACTCCCCTTGGGCTCTGATTGGGAGTTCCTGGGAGGAATGAGATGATGGAACGTGGCTTGGATGGATAAGGAAAAGAACTGGCATCTCTCTCATCATGTGGTTTCCCCACTGTGACCCCAGGAATCATTGCTGCGAGGACGCTTTGCACCATCTGGCCACATTGAAGGCTTCACAGCAGAGATTGGAGCTAGTGGGTCCTATTGCCCCCAGCATGTCACGCTGCCTGTCACTGTCACCTTCTTTGATGTTTCTGAGCAAAATGCCCCGGCCCCCTTCCTGGTATGGCCTGACCTCAACCCCAAAGTCAGCCCATTAAGAGGATGAGGGGTTGGGGGAAGGGTGCAGGGGCAAGAGTATTTCGTACTTGTTTCTCTCCCAGGAGTGAGTCAGGGCTGGTGGGAAGAATTCTGGCATGGGGCGGAAGCAAGCTCAGTGGGAGATTGTAGGGAGGGATGAACATTCAGGTCTCAAGGCTTTCCTAGTCTCCATCTTGGCTGATGGTTCCCTGGCCTTCCCAGGGCGTCGTGGACCTGAACCCCCTGGGGAGGAAGGGTTACAGCGTGCCTAAGGTGGGCACCATCCAAGTGGTGAGTTTGCCCTGAGGGAGTGGGAGTGGGGAGGAAGGAAAACAGCCCTTAGACACTACCAACCTTGACTGTCCTACCCCCAGACCTTATTTAACCCCAACCAGACTGTGGTGAAGATGTTCCTTGTGACCTTTGACTTCTCGGACATGCCTGCTGCCCACATGACCTTCTTGCGCCATCGCCTCTTTTTGGTGCCTGTGGGTGAGGAGGGAAGTACTAGCCCCACCCACCGCCTCCTCTGCTACTTGCTGCACCTCAGGTGAGGACAGGACCCAGGGTCTTGGGGAGGACCAGGGATCCCTTCCCTGAATAGGATCTCTTCTTGTTTCTCTACTATCCAGATTCTTAACTTTTGACCACATTATCTTCCACCAGGTTCCGGAGCTCTCGCTCAGGCCGCTTAAGCCTGCATGGAGATATCCGCCTGCTTTTTTCCCGCCGGAGCCTGGAGCTGGATACAGGGCTCCCCTATGAACTGCAGGCTGTGACTGAGGCCCCTCACAATCCACGTTATTCACCTTTGCCCTGATTGCCAGTGCTCTGAACCCATATGGGCCAACAACCTGCCGGCCCATCCTGCTCCATCCTGGACAGGGTACATACATGGAGAGATGGCAAGAGACCCTTCAGGCTTGAATTAAAGCCCTCACCATGCCCATGCCCAAATCGATTATTTGGGTGTTTAAAGTTTCTGATCCTTAGTACACCCTGCCCTACTCCGGGTACTCCATGTGCCTGTCCCTTACCTTGGGTCTCCCAGGCCAGCTTAGGTAGTAGGGAGGAACCAGAGCTACCCTGAGGTTGTCCCAAGTTCCCAGGCAAGTCATGCCAGCGTTGCCTCCCTGTCCTGGGCAGGGGCCACTTATTATTTTATTTATTTTTAATTTATAATTTATTCAAATTGGATTGCCTTGGTAACTCCCAAACCTGATAATTGGCATCACCCTTCCTTTCCCACTCTCAGATATTGCTGTAACCTCAGGAGTTGAAGAGGCTTATGTGGGGGTGGGAGGAAAACTGCTCTCTCTCACCTGAGGGCAGAAGAGTTATTCCAGAGGGACTGAGTCACTCAGTTTCCCCTAGTCCCTTCACTTTCCCTTTCTTCTGGACCATCTCTGAAAGACAACTTGTATGTATGTGTGGTGCACAAGCTTGTGTTTGTGTGATATGTGTGTGAGAGAGAGAACGTGTGCATGTATGCATGCACACACACAGGGGTTAACCACCCCTCACCTAGGGCTCCAGACTCCAGTTGTCCCTCTCTTCCTGCCTGTGTCTCCTTGCTTTGGGGTCCTGACTGAGGAAGGTGTCCAGGGGGCAGAGTCAGGGCCAAGGACCGGGGTGCCTCCTCTCACCTGGCCAGACTCTGACCCACCTACCTCAGCTGGGGTGAGGAGCACCCCTCAAACTCAGTCATGTGGTTCCCAACTACCCTATTCTCCCCTCTAGACTTTGACCCAGCCTTAGCCCTGACTCTTGGGGCTGGGCTGAGGGGAACAAGCATTTGCTGAAACTTGAAAAACAAAACAAAACAGGAAAAAATTGTACCTGGTACTTTTTTTTAGAAAATAAAAAAGAAAGAATAAATTCTTGTTTGGACACTTGAACTAAACTGTATTTTTTTTGTTGGGGAGAGGATATGAAGGGGGATGGAAGGCCTACCTGGAGCTAGGTCTCTGCCCTTTCTCCTAGGTCCTACTTGGGGGTAAAGGGGGTAGGTAAAGTTCAGCAATAGAAGCTGAATTCTCTGAATGTGGATCTGGATTCTTTTTTTTTTTTTTTTGAGTAGGAGTCTCACTCTGTGCCCCAGGTTGGAGTGCAGTGGTACACTCTCTTCCTTCTGAGCTCAGACAATCCTTCGGCTTCAGCCTTCCATGTAGCTGGAACTATAGGCGCACAACACCATGGCTGGCTAATTTTTTAAAAAATTTATTGTAGGCCGGGCTCGGTGGCTCAGCCTCTAATCCCAGTACTTTGAGAGACTGAGGCGAATAGATTGCCTGAGCCCGCGGGTTCAAGACCAGCCCAGACAACTTGGTGAGACCTTGTCTCTACAAAAAGTAAAAAATTAGCTGTGCGTGGTAGCATGCACCTGTCGTTCTGGCTACTTGGATGGCTGAGGCAGAAGGATAGCCAGAGCCCAGCAGGTCGATGCTGGGGTGGCCATGAGCATGCATGCTACTGCATTCCAGCCTGGGTGACAGAATGAAACTCCAACCCCCCCCACCAAAAAATATTATTGTAGAGATGAGGTCTCACCAAGTTGTCCAGGATGGTCTCACACCTGTGGGCTGAGGCAATCCTCCGGTCTCTGCCTTCCACAGTGCTGGGATTACAGGCATGAGCCACCATTCCTGGCTAGGATCTGAATTCTTATACTGGTTATGTTAATGACTTTAGCTTCTCAGAACTTCAGTTCTCTCATAAAATGAGGGTGACTACACAGGTCTCTCTCTCTCTCTCTCTCTCTCTCTCTCTCTCTATCTCTATCTCTATCTCTATCTCTTTGAGTTGGAGTCTCACTTTGTCTCCCAGGCTGGAGGGCAGTAGCACGCTCACAGCCACCGCAGCCTGGACCTGCTGGGCTCAGGTGATCCTTCCGCCTCAGTCTTCCTAGTAGCTGGAACTACAGGCGCATGCCACTACGCCCGGTGAATTTTTGGATTTATTATAGAGACGAGGTCTCGCCAAGTTGCCCAGGCTGGTATCGAACCCCTGGACTCGGCAAACCTTTCACCTCGGCTTCCCAAAGTGCTAGCTAGGATTGCAGGTTTGAGCCACTGCACCCGGCCCTACGCAGGTCTCTTAAAGGATGTACCAGAGCCTCAGAGATGTGTGCAAGGTGACTTGCTCTGGACAAGACTGAACGTTGAAGCTGTTAGCTGGGCTCCGTATGCAGGGGACTAGGCCTGACAGACCCTGCTTGGGAGGAAGAGATGGAAAGAGCTTTGGTTCCTTGAGAAAAGAGGGGAGGGGAAAATCTCAGCCCAATCACCGGGCAATGTTAGGCCCGTTACCATGGCGACGGGATGGGGTCAGTCCCCAGTGGGAGGGCTAGGCATAACACAGCAGGACTACCCGAGAATGTCACTATGGCAACCATGGCAACGAGTCAATTCCAATCCATTGGTCGCTATGGTGAGAGATGGGGCGATTATACGCTCTGGAGGGTAAACTGAGTCTCGGGTGGGGATAGAGAATTCTGTGGGAAATGTCTCTGCGTCACACGCACGCGGAAAATAGTCTCCATTTTGGCCATCAGGCTGGGGATCTCGGGCTCGAACACCAAAACCAGCGGCAGCCTTGGGCCTTCTTTGGAAGGTCTGCGTTGCCCAGGGAACCACTCTTCGCAAGCTCTGCCAAGCAACGTTGATTGGGTGAGAGTGGATGGGGGCGGGGACGGCCAGAAGTACATCCGGGGCGTGGACCAGCCGGAGGAAAGGCTCGGGTCGGTTTCTGGAGCGACTCCTCTGCCCCGTGTCTTGTTGGTTCCGGAGGTTGCTGCGGCCGTGGGAAATGCTGGCACGCTCGGCGCGGGGCACTGGGACCCTTCTGCTTCGGGTGAGAGCGAGGCAACGTTTTCCAAAGGGTCGGGACGGAGATCACCCGGGTCCTCAGCTGGGAAGGAGCGGAATTCCAACTTTGGGAGAGGGCTGGGGTCAGAGGTCATGGGCCCCACGTGTGTTCCTCTCCGAGGATTTTGAGGGTCGCGGTTTAGTGAGATACCTTCAGGACAGAGGGGCGGGGTGGCGGGTCACCTGGGATCTCTGCTCACTGTCGTCTTTCTTTCAGGGCTGTCTACAGGCTTCTGGCCGCGCTCCGCGCCGCGCCTCCTCCGGATTACCCCGAAACACTGTGGTACTTTTTGTGCCGCAGCAGGAGGCCTGGGTGGTGGAGCGAATGGGCCGATTCCACCGGATCTTGGAGCCTGTGAGAACCTCTTCTGCCCACCCCGGCCCAGCGAGATGACCGGATCCCTCACGGCACGGGGTGGGAGGGGACCTCCTTGGGGCCTGCCCACACCTTTAGCTCCTGACTGACTCTCCAGGCCAGAAAGGGCAGGGCTCAGGCTGCTGACCATCATCCCCATGGTTACCCCCTTTTCCTATTGTTCTGGCATCCCATAGGCCCCATTTCTGGAGAATCTCTCCCACCCACCTTCTCAGCACTACCTGTCTGCATAGTGATTGCTGTTCTGCTGGCTTCCATTCCCATGACTCTTCTCCATTCAGAGAACTAGTCTTGCATTTCTCCTCTCTTGGGTTTGCCCACCAGTGACAGCCCAACCTTCTGAGGATTTCCCTCTTGGTAGGGGCCGCTGCTTTCCTGGACATGTTCCACGTGTTGACTCCCTACCTCCTCCAGGACTAGCTTAGGTCTCAACCCTGTAGTCCCCATCTTTCTGAGGACCCACGACTCCTCTTCCCAGGGCTTGAACATTCTCATCCCTGTGTTAGACCGGATCCGATACGTGCAGAGTCTCAAGGAAATTGTCATCAACGTGCCTGAGCAGTCGGCTGTGACTCTCGGTGAGAAGTTCAAGGTGACACGGGTACTTTGAGACCATTATGATGTGGTTGCTGTAGATCCATAGCATAAGAGAAAGAGCTGGTTGGGACTTGGAGGCCTGACTGTTCTTTCCTTTTCTGCAGATAACGTAACTCTGCAAATCGATGGGGTCCTTTACCTGCGCATCATGGACCCTTACAAGGTATCTGCCCCATGCTTTATCCAGACTTTTGAGTTGTCCTCCTCACTAAAATCCTGCACGTAAGCTTACACTGGTCATGCCCCTTTCAGGCAAGCTATGGTGTGGAAGACCCTGAGTATGCTGTCACTCAGCTAGCTCAGACGACCATGAGATCAGAGCTTGGCAAACTTTCACTGGACAAAGTCTTCCGGGTAAGAGGATCTGATCCAGAGTTAGGGTTTGAAGGCACCAGCTTCACACTCTTAGTACTTTCTGGGGGTCAGGATCAGTCCCAGACCCTTCTCAGCTTAGGTCCTTGATAGGTGGGCTGAGGCTGTGGTGCTTACACCTCTCTTTTTCCAGGAGCGGGAGTCCCTGAACGCCAGCATTGTGGATGCCATCAACCAGGCTGCTGACTGCTGGGGCATCCGCTGCCTCCGTTATGAGATCAAGGATATCCATGTACCACCTAGGGTGAAAGAGTCCATGCAGATGCAGGTGGGGGCCAGGGAAGAGGACCTCAGAGTGCTCCAGTACCTGGACTCCCTTCTTATTGTGTTCTACATAACTGCACTTCTGTATAAGAGTTTTCCCCTGATTTGTTGATGGGGGTTGCCGGGGGCTTTCAGGTGGAAGCAGAGCGGCGGAAACGGGCCACAGTTCTAGAGTCTGAAGGGACCCGAGAGTCAGCCATCAACGTGGCAGAGGGGAAGAAACAGGCCCAGATCCTAGCCTCTGAAGCAGACAAGGCTGAACAGATAAATCAGGCAGCAGGTCAGCAGAGGGTAGAGGCTGAGGGAGGAACAGGACATGGGTCTTTGAAGATTGGTGCTGGTACAGGAGCTTTGGGAGCTCTGTCTCTCTTCTTCCAGGAGAAGCCAGTGCAGTTCTGGCCAAGGCCAAGGCTAAGGCTGAAGCTATCCAAATCCTGGCTGCAGCTCTGACACAACATGTGAGAAGCTCTGGGGTGGGAATGGGGGGACAGGAGTTGACAATAGAAGGGGTTCTCTCATCTGCCCTTGAGGGGAGTTCTTGTGTTTGTGAGCTCTGTTGAGCCAGGTTACATGATCCCCTGAATTGTGACCTACTTACCCTCTTTTTAGGAACCTGACCTCCCTTCTCCACTCCCCCCCACCCTTTCTTCTCCAAGTCTGTAATCTCTGATTTTATTGTCCTGTGGCCACAGAATGGAGATGCAGCAGCTTCACTGACTGTGGCCGAGCAGTATGTCAGCGCGTTCTCCAAACTGGCCAAGGACTCCAACACTATCCTACTGCCCTCCAATCCCGGCGACGTCACCAGTATGGTGGCTCAGGTTAGATCCTCTGATGACCCAGCACAGAGCACCAGTGCCAGAGACTGAGCCCCCACTACCACCACTTACCATAGAGGTCTTCAGAGTGCCCAAGATCAAGTATATCCATGTGCCTCCTCAGGTGAAAGAGTCCGTCAGATGCAGGTGGGGGCCAGGGAGGGGTGGGAAGAGGACCTCAGGGTGCTGCAGTATCCAGACTCCCTTCTTATTGTGGTCAGTATAACTGCACGTCTGTATAAGAGTTTTCCCCTGATTTGTTGAAGGGGATTGCTGGGGGCTTTCAGGTGGAAGCAGAGTGGCAGAAATGGGCCTGGACCTGGCCCTGGACCTCCTTTCATTCCTTCTAGAGATGGAATCTCTAAGAATGAGACATTTCCACTCACGCCTGCAGATAGGGAAGCTCTTAAAATACCTTAATTTGCGGATGCTGTGTCGGTATTCTGAAGGTCACTTTGCTCTGATGGTCTGTAAGATTCCGAACACCGACTCCAGAGCTTTTAAGACTGAGGCAAGAGAGGAGGATAGGAAAACCAAACTCACTGGCCCTGGTGCCACTTTTTGCCTTTTAGCCATTGGTAGGTTGGGCTGTACCTCTGCCAGGTGTCCTCATGGCTCTCTCTGTCCCTCTCCTCAGGCCATGGGCGTATATGGGGCCCTCACCAAAGGCCCAGTACCAGCGTCCCAGGACTCAGTCTCCAGCAGAAGCAGCAGAGATGTCCAGGGCACAGATGCAAGTCTTGATGAGGAACTTGATCGAGTCAAGCTGAGTTAGTGGAGCTGAACTTGGCCAGGGAGTCTGGGGACAGGGAAGTATACTCTTTATACTTCTAGAGCCTGACTCTAGCCTCCCTGCCAAGATTTTGGTTTTTATTTTTTTATTTGAGTTTTAATCATGTAATAAACTCACTAGTGGCGAACGAGAAACTGTCCTCTTTCATTGGGGAATGAAGTTGGGAAAGTCACTAGCATTTTCCTTGGATGTATACTCGCACAATACAGTCCTGTCAGGTCTTGGGAACTGATGCCTTCTTGAGCAAGAATGAACTTCACATAAAGTTAAACCATCTTTTCTGTGATCAAGAAAAGCGGTGGGATAGGGTGAAAGGATTAAAACACATGTCCACTACTGCACTGCTAGCTAGGGAGTGTAGTCTCCTTCCCACTAAATGTGGTGCTGTGTGTTCAAGGCAGGTGTTTGGGCAGGGCTGGGGAGGGGTGGTTCATGGAAAAGAGAATTGCCCTGGCAGAATAGTACTTTTTGTTGTTGGTGGTGTTTTTTTTTGTTTGTTTTTTTTTTTGAGTCCGAATCTCACTCTGTCACCCAGGCTGGAGTGATGTGGCATGCTCATGGCCACCACAGCCTCGACCTGCTGGGCTCAGGCGATCCTCCCACCTCAGCCTTCCAAGTTGCTGGAACTACAGGCGCACGCCATTACACCTGGCTATTTTTTTTGTTTATTGTAGAGACAAGGTCTTGCCAAGTTGCCCAGGCTGGTCTCGAACCCCTGAGCTCAGGCAATCCTTTTGTCTCTGCCTCCCAAAGTGCTGAGATTACAAGCGTGAGCCACTGCACCTGACTGAGTAGTACTATTGAATGCTTAAAGGATCTTCAAGAACTGAGGGCACTGCTCATCTGTTTGTTCAAAAACATTGAACATCCAGGCTCAGTGGCTCAGCCTGTAATCCCGCGCCTTTGGGAGGCTGAGGTGAGTGGATGC